TAATCGCTTCGCTCATTCCGCCGGCCCTGGAGCCCTCTTTAGGGCCTCTTTGGGGCCTCTTGGGGACCTCTTGGGAGTCTCTTGGGGCTCCTTGGCGGCGTCTTATGGGTGCCTCCGGGGCCTCTTGGGGGGCTTCTGGGGGCCTCTTGGGGCGGGAGGGGGGGTGGTCGATTGCGGCTCCCCCCTCGGAGGCCACAATCCTCGTGAGTGGTGTCGAAAAATGGCCCTCCCCTGGAGTGCTCTGGTGGCTTCTCCCGGGACCTTGCCGGGGTACTTTTCGTCCGGGGGCCCCCAGGGGCCGCTCCGCGCGCGCGAACTAGAAATATTGTTAACCAGTTACCGGAGATCTTAGCACGCCTCTGGCCCGTTGGGCCAGCGAAATTATACACATATATCGACACACACACACACATATATATATATATATATATATATGCCTTCCTGGGGCCACGAGAGCCGATTGGAAGCGAAAGCGCGAGACACATTGGGGAGAAGGGGGGGGGAAGGAAGAGGAGGAGGAGGAGGAGGAGGAGGAGGAGGAGGAGGAGGAGGAGGAGGAGGAAGGAGGAGGAGGAGGAGGAGGAATTAGAGGAAGAGGGGGAGAGAGGAGAAAGAGGATGAGGATGAGGAGGAGAAAGGAGAGGAGGAAAAGGGGGAGGAGAAAGAGGAGGAGGATGCCATGCTAGACCAACCACTCGCCTGAGACGTATTCGCGCCGCTGGGCCCCGAGACGCCCTGAGCTGGCCTCAGCTGGTGTTGTCCGGTCGCTCCCGCTGGGGACTTCATCACCCATTCCGACTTGGCGGTGGCCCGCCCCATGTCACCGCGCACGCATGCCGCCCGCATTCGAAACTACAAAGAACAAGGTGCATGGCGCGAAGCGCCACTGCAGTCTTGTGTGTATAGGTGTATTCTTCGTTGTCCAGCCGTCCACGGCCCCCTCCGCCCCGTCGTCTGTGGCCCTCCCCGCCGCGCCTAACCGCCGATCCAGGGATGCAGGCAGCGGACATGGGCGCCTCCACCCGCGTCAGCGTTGTCCACCGCTCAGTCGCGTCCGCGGTCCAGTTTTCAGCCACCTGCAGACGGGGGGTAGGGGGAGGGGGGAAGGGCTCTTGGAAGCACCCTGCTTCTTAGCATGCGCGGGCCTCCTCTATAGATGTGAGGAAGGCCCCTTCTCTGAAGCAGCCTCCTTCTAGGAAACTTTCCCCTTCCCCCGACCCCCTTGCGCGGGCGGTCAAAGTTTGGCGGCTAATGGGGCACCTGGCCCCCCAGAGCTTCGAGGCGCCGCACAAATTATGAGCGGTCGGTTTCTGGCCGTTTTCGGCCTCCGTGAGGGCCTTCCGCGGGCCCCGGGCCAGCGTTAACAAGAAGGACTCGGGAAGAAAAGCCGGCCCCAGGGAAGTTGTCCAAATTCGGGGACCTGGAGACGGGGGTCAATCCAGACGGAGGTCAGCCAGAGCACCGGATCTTGCATGATCGTGCCAGGCCAGGGTTGCAGTGACCCGGTTTCGCGTGCAGGATCCTGCCGAATTCTGCAGGATCCTACAAATTGGGCGGGTGGTAAAAGGGGGGTGGCCCACATGGGGGGTGAAGAAAAAGGCCCTAAGCAAAGCTTGATTGACCCAGATCTGCATTGACCTGGGTCAGTGCTTCCCCGGCATACTTCCGTGGGCGCACGCATCGAAAAGACTGGAGCGGACGGCGTGGTTCTCGGCCGCTTGCCTTCCCCGCCCCACCCCCTTTGGCGCAGCAGCACCCGCCTGCGAGGGAACCAGCAGGCCCTGGTCAAGAGCACACGGTCGCACCCAAGTACAAGATCGAGGTCGGCTCCGGGAGAGCACCTTACGGGTCTTCGTGCTTGCTGGATGTTACATTTGTGCATCCTGGGGGAGGGTACCCTCGAATGTTCTTCGGTTGTGCCGGCGGAGGGCTTCATGTTCCCGAAGGATGTTCTTCTGGCCTAGGTCTGGCCGTATCCGAATCCTGCAGCCGCAGGCATGACGTGCCTTTCCGTGCGGAGGCCCGAGCTGCCTGGAGCGGGAGGGACAAGAGCCGCGGCCAGAGCCTCATCGGGTCCACACCCGTGGGCCAACCTCCACCCCATCGACTTCTTGCAGGATTTCCTCTGGTCCACCCCTCAATGGGAGATCACCCTGGCTATGCTCCCAACGCCCGCAAGCGCCTACGGAACCTCTCCCGATCCAGCTGCTCCCAGCCCTGATCGTTTCCTCCCTTTTGCCGCCTGACCTTTGCTGCTTAGCGGTCGACTGCGTCCAGCTTCCCCGAGGGTATCAGTCTTGACCACAACGATGAGGAGAAGGGGGGGAGGAGGAGGGGGAGGAGGAGGAGGCGGAGGAGGAGGAGGCGGAGGAGGAGGAGGAGGAGGATGAGCAGTAGGAGGAGGCGGAGGAGGAGGAGGAGGAGGAGGAGCAGAAGGAGGAGGCGGAGGAGGAGGAGGAGTAGGAGGAGGAGCAGAAGGAGGAGGAGGATGAGGAGGAGAAGGGGAAGAGGAAGAGGAAAAAGATGAGGAGGATGAGGAGGAGGGGGAGGAAGGGAAGGAGGAGGAAGGGGAGGAGGGGGAGGAGGAGGAGGAGGAGGAGGAGGAGGAGGAGGATGTTCGGAGAAGAAGGCAGAGTAGCAGGGGGAGGAGGAGGAGGAGGAGGAGGAGGAGGAGGAGGATAAGGATGATAATGATGAGGATGAGGACGAGGATGATGCTGCTGATGATGATGATGATGATGATGATGATGATGATGATGCTCATGCTCACGACGATGATGATGATGATGATGATGATGATGATGATGATGATGATGATGATGCTGCTGATGATGATGATGAACATAATGCTGATGCTGATGATGATGACGATGATGTTGATGATGGTGACGATGATGCTGCTGCTGATGGTGATGATGCTAGTGACGATGATGATGATGCTTATGCTCACGACGATGATGATGACGATGATGATGATGATGATGATGATGATGATGATGATGATGCTGATTCTGATTATGATGATGGTGATGCTGATGACGACGATGACGATGGCAGTGACGATGACGATGCTGCTGATGATCATGCTGCTGATGATGATGATGCTGATGCTGATGACGATGATGATGCTGATGATGATGATGCTTCTGCTGATGATGATGATGATGATGATGATGATGCTGATGCTGATGCTGATGCTGATGAGGATGATGATGATGATGATGATGATGATGATGATGATGATGATGCTGATGATGATGATGATGATGGTGGTGGTCATGATGATGATGCTGATGCTGCTGCTGATGATGATGATTATGATGATGCTGATGATGATGATGATGCTGATGATGATGCTGATGATGATGATGCTGATGCTGATGATGATGATGATGCTGATGACGATGATGATGATGATGATACTGACGATGACGATGACGATGACGATGACGAGGATGACGATGATGATGATGCTGATGATGTTGCTGATGATGATGATGCTGATGATGATGCTGATTATGATGCTGATGATGCTGATGCTGATGCTGATGCTGATGATGATGATGATGATGATGATGATGATGATGATGATGATGATGATGATGGTGATGATGATGTTGTCTGCTGATGATGATGATGATGCATATGATGCCTTGAAGAGGGGGCGGATATAGATGAATGATGCTGATGATGATGATGAAGACTGATCGATGATGATGATGCTGATGATATTACTGAGGATGATGATGATGATGTGATGATGATGATTGATGCATGATAGATAATGATGATCTGATGATGAAGGGAGGAGATGCATGATGATTGAATATGAGGATGATGATGGATTGATGATGATGATGATGATGATGATGGATGATGCTGATGCATGATGCATGACGATGCTGATGATATAGATGATTGATGATGATGATGATGATTCACGTGATGATGATGATGATGATGCTGCATTGAATGATGATGAATGATGAGTGAGTGATGAGATGAATGATGATGGATGTATGATATGATGATGATGATGCTGCATGATGATGATTGCTGGACTAGCTGATGAGGTGCTGTACATGAATGATGCTGGATGATGATTGAGGAGTAGGAGGAGGGGAGAGCGGCGTTGCGGAGGAGGAGGAGAACGCCGAGGAAGAAGGCCGAGGAGGAGGTGATGAGGACAAGGTGGTACGGGAGGATAAGACGGGAGGAGGATGGAAGAGGACGGGAGGGAGGAGGAGGAGGGACGGGAGGAGGAGGGAGGAGGGGGAGGCAGTATAGGAGGAGGAGGAGGAGGAGCGAGGAGGAGGAGGAGGAGGAGGAGGATCATTATTATGACAATGAGGAGGAAGGGCTTGGGAAGACAGCAGGGGGAGGGTAGAGGACGTGGCGGAGGAGGAGGAGGAGGAGGAGGAGGAGGAGGAGGAGGAGGAGGAGGAGGAGACGGGAGCCTTGGGCCGCCTTGCACGTCTGCTGCCCGACTCCCCGCCTGCCAGGCGGGGGCCTCGTCAATATCGTCGTCGAAGTCGTCGTCGCGGTCGTCGCCGCCACGCCGGCCGCGCCGCCGAGTCGTCGTCGTCGTCGTCGTCGTCGTCGTCGTCGTCGTCGTCGTCGTCGTCGTCCTCAGCCTTCTCGTCGTCGTCGTCGTCCTCGTCCTCGTTCTCGTCGTGATCCTCCTTTACCCCTCCTCGTCCTCCTTGCCCTCGTCATCGTCGCTACCACGGAGGAGTGCAGCTTCTCTTCCCTCGTCTTTCTCTCTTGTTCTCGCTGGCGGATGCGGCGTTCCCCTGCCTGGTGTGCAACGTCACAGTCGACGAGGTCGTCGTTCTCCCGATCTCAACCTTTTTCCTCCTCCTTCCCTCCTCGCCCCTTCTGTCTGTTCTCCGGGCGCCCCTCTATCTGGTGATCACCCTCTCCCCCCCGAAAAGAAACTCTCTCCACCCGTCTCCCCAGCGCTCTCCGCGCGCGATCTGCTGCCTCCCCTCCGCCGCGAGGCCGACTACGCGCTCAAGGAGGTCTGCCTGGGCGATCGGGCACTGCCCGGCATCCCCAACGCCTTCGGCGAGCTGACGGACGCTGGCGAAGAGAAGGCGACGGTTCTCGGGGCTCCTCTCGATCCCTCCTGTTCGATTCGACTCGACTTCGATGGGCTCCCATTGCGATTCGATTCGGCCTCGGACTCCGATTTGGATTCCGACTCCTTCACGGAAGCAGCCCAGCCTGCTGATTTCCTCCGATTCGATTCGACTTCGATGGCCTCCGATTGCGACTCGATTCGGCTTCGGACTCCGATTTGGATTCCGATTCCTCCATGGACGCAGGCCAGCCTGCTGATTTCCTCCGATTCGACTCGACTTCGATGGCCTCCGATTGCGATTCGATTCGGCTTCGGATTCCGATTTTGATTCCGATTCCTTCATGGAAGCAGCCCAGCCTCTTGATGTTCTCCGATCCGACCTCTCCCGACGCGGCCGCCGATTTTTCCGCCGATCCGATTCATGTTCATCGCCGATCCGACCTGTCGATTCGATTCTGGGCTCTCCTGGCTTTTGCTGAGAGGAGCGAGGCCGTCTCCTGCCCCCCCCCATAGGGGGGTCGGAGAGGGCTGCGGGTGCGTGTTGTCGGATGGGGGTCCCCGCTCGAACGGGAGCGTTCCCCAGGTTCCGACAGCCCGCACCCACGCCCATAGCCAGTGCTCCTCCCAACGACCCCCCTTATGGGTATGGATGTGTGCTGTTCGTTCGTCGAGGTCGTCTCCTGCCCCCCCCCCCGCTGCTGCCAAGCCGCTCCAGACCGCACCGGGCACTCGCCTTTGCCCACGCACGCCGGAGCGGGCCGCCCATCCCGCACGTGAGCTTCGAGAGGCAGGGCTTCGGTGGAGTGCCGACTCTCGCCTGCGCTCCTCGGTGGGGGCAAGTCAAGTCCATTCTAGGGCCTGTTGTCCACGACCGCCACCACGAGTCGGAGGGGGGAAGCAGGGGGAGGAGGGGGAGGAGGAGGAGGAGGAGGAGGAGGAGGAGGAGGAGGAGGAGGAGGAGGAGGAGGAGGGAGGGAGGAGGGAGGAGGAGGAGGAGGAGGAGGAGGAGGAGGAGGAGCAGGAGCAGGAGGAGGAGGAGGAGGAGGAGGAGGAGGAGCAGGAGCAGGAGGAGGAGGAGGAGGAGGAGGAGGAGGAGGAGGAGGAGGAGGAATTCTAATTGTAATTCCATCTAGGGCGGGGGTGCTGCTCTACTCCCCCTCCAACTTATGGTGGTGGTGGTGGTGGTGGTGGTGGAAAACAGGCCCATCATCCGTGGCTCATTGAGAGGTGGGACTCCGATCTGGGCCTTCGGTACCTTCCTGTCTCGTGAACAGAGGACGTCGCCTCCTCCACGTGGGCCAGCCCGAGGACGGCCACGTGTCGCGCACCTCGGGGGTCGCCGTGCGCGGAGCCACGCGTCACCAATTCAGGTGGACCACTCTGCCCCGAGAAGCCGCGCGCCGTGGTGTGGTGGTGGTGGCCGCCTGCGGCCACCCATGGGGCCTCCAGGAGAACCCGGGCGCTGTGTGTTGGGCATAGCCAGAGCTCCTGTCCAAGGCGTATCTTTTCCTGTGCAAGCTCTTCGGCACCGCCTGTACTCCGCACCCTCCGGCCGCCTGAGGCCCCGCCCGCCCGCGCCCTGTTTCCCCAATTAGTGCTCCGCGCGCCCCGCCTCAGCTCTTAACCGGAAGAGGCCCGCTCTCGACCCGCCGACCAAAAAGTGTAGGGTATAGCCAGGACCCTACTCGAGTTTCCGAATAGGCGTCGGGGGGGCGTCACCCCCGCCGACAGCCCCACATCAGCCCCCGTCGCGGGCAGCCACCGCGAGCCGGAGGCGCTCCGACCCCCGTCGCGGCGCGACGACGAGGAGAGGTTGACCCCCGTCGAGGGGGTGCCCCCCCACGCTTGTTAAGAAGCCCTGAGTAGGTAAGGGGACCCGGTTCGAAGTAGGGCCCTGGAGCCGCTGCATGTGCCAGAATCACTAAACCAGGTCTGCCGTAGCTGGTGTCTTTTCGGGTGACGGCAGTTCCGGTTGGTGGAAGGGGCGGGGGGGGCGTCCCCCAGTACACATCTTTGAACCAGGTCCTACTAAACCCAGTTCTGCCAACGCCCGAGTGTGGTGAGGAGGTCTCGGGGCTCAAAAGACGGGGGTCAATGCGAACGGGGGTCAGCTAGAGCGCCGGATCTTGCAGGATCCTGCAGAGGCCAGGGTCGCATTGACCCCAGTCTTGCGTGCAGGATCCTGCAGGATCTTGCAGGATCTTTCGCGTTGACCCGGGCTTGGGTGCAGGATCTAGCAGGATCTGCAGGTTTTGCAAGGCCTGAATGACCCGCGGGTCTGGATTGACCCGGGTCAGGAGATCCCCGAAGGTCGCATGGAAGTCTGTCAGACACAGTTGGGCCAACGAGCGGTGGCAGGCGAAAGTCGTTCAAGTAAATGGCACGCCGATCTTAAGCCTGCCTGCTGGAGGGCCCTTGGGTGTCTCGCGGGGGCTTGTCTGGGGTCGTAGGGCGTACTTCTCGTCCTCGCGGGCTCGCGGCGCTACCAGTGGCAGGAGTCTTGCCACCTCGTAACTGGAGATGTCGCCAAGCCAGCGAGACGTCGTCATCACGGTTGTCCCAATTGGAAATCAGCATGCGACAAGAGGAGGAGGGTGAGGAGGAGGAGGAGGCGCATTCGGATGCTGCGACCAGCAGTAGAACTCCTGCACCTCTGGTCGGTGTTGCCGCCGAGCAGCCACGCGCAGAGGGGGGTGGGGGTAGGGGGGAGGGCTTCTTAGAAACACCCTCTGCTTAGAAGGCGCCGGCCTTCCAGATGTAGGTGGCACCTTCTACGAAGCAGCCTCCTCTAAGCAGCCCTCCCCCTCCCTCCACCCCCTTCTGCGCGCCGCCAAGGTAGAACTCCTGCCCCTCTGGTCGGTATTGCCGCCGAGCTGCCCCCCCGGGCCCGGGGCACACAGGTCGTCGCTTGTGGTTCGTTCGTGCTGCGTTCGTTCGTCCGTCACCGTCGGCGTGTCGTTTTGATGGGCCTGTTTTCCACCACCACCATATGTTGGAGGGGGGGAAGGAGGAGGAGCAGGAGGAGGACGAGGACCAAGAAGAGGAGGAGGAGGAGGAGGAGGAGGAGGAGGAGGAGGAGAAGGACCCCCTTCCCCCTCCAGGTTACGGTGGTGGTGGTGGTGGTGGTGGTGGTGGTGGAAAGCAGGCTCATCACGTCTGTCGCCCTCGCCGCCGTCGTTCGCCCTCGTCGCCTTCGTCGTCGACGGCGTCCGTCGGCGTCGTCGGCGTCGTCGCCGTCGGTGGTCGTCGTGCTTTTTCTTTTGGGCCTCGTGCCCCCCATCCGCGGGCGCGCGCTCGAGGCCAACCTCGAACGCCAGCACCTCTCTCTTACGCCTCCTCTGAAGTCAGCCGGCAACCGCCGCCTCCGGCGGCAGCCTGCCTCCCACCCCTCCCCCACACTCTCCTGCCCATCAGGACTCCCCCTCCTCCTCCTCCTCTCCCCTCTCCTGCCTCCTCCTCCTCCCTCCTACCTCCTCCCTCCTCCTCTCCCCATACTCCTCCTTCCTCCTCCTCTCCTTCCTCCTCTCCTCCTCCTTCCTCCTCCTCCCTCCTCCCCTCTCCCCATCCTCCTCCCCCTTCCTCCCTCCTCCTCCTCCCTCCTCCTCCCTCCTCCTCTTATCTCCCCTTTCCCCTTGCCTCCTCCTTCCTCCTCCTCCTCGTCTCCTCCACCTCTCTCCTTCTATTTGTCATCTCCTCATCCTCCTCCTCCTCCTCCTCCTCCTCCTCCTCCTCCTCCTCCCATGTCGCTGTCGTCGGGGGGCTCGTGGGTCAGACCTGGCGCGGGCGCACCTACAGTGGGAACCCATGCCAAGACACACCCTGTTTGCCACCAGGGTGCCCTGGGTTTCTTGGGTTTCGATGGTTTTGCGATGAAAAGCGTGACGCTACCACACCAAAAGTCAATGGACGTCCTGGGGTGTCAGGGTTGGGTTTCTCGTTGACGGTTCCTTATGGTCGTGCTCCTTTTGTAGCTTGCCGTCCCTCCTCTCGCCCTGCTTCCTCCTCTGCCCTGCTCCCTCCCCAGCGGGGACGGGTTACCTGCAGGGCTCCGGTCGCGCGCGCGCGCGTACGCCTCTCTCTCACCCCCGGGGGCGGCGCGCAAGGCGGCGCGCCAGTGGTTCGTGGTGCGCAAGGCCGGCCGCCGAGCCCGGTGGGGAGGCCGAACTCCTGTCTCTGGAGATAGGAAGGGGGTACGGTATAA